AATGAGAAAGAAAAATAGATGGATAGACGGGTGAAGGTACAGTAGAAAGGAAGAAAGAGACAGGTTAAAGGACAAAGAGACGAATGAACAACAGAAAGATTCAGAAGTAGTGAGAAGTGAGCATTAGAAACATGGGTAGAGAAATTGAAGTTTAAAAGCAGAGCTGTTTTTGGAAATTAATGGAGGCAGAATGAAGAAATTTTACATTTTCTGATGAAAATATGAGCACTGCAGTTGTTACAGTATGTGATCGCTAGAGTAAGTGGTTGTCAGTGGTTTTTAGCACATTGATATCTAGTTGGATTGGGAATGGAGAACCGGATCTTCTCTTAACTGTTCTTAAACGTCTGCATTCTTCCACAGATGTGGATGGAACATCATACTAAAATACTCAGACAGCATGTCCTGAGTCTACAGGAAAAATACATTTTCGCTTCATTGTAGTTTCAGTCTGAATTGATAGTGATGGGAGAGAAACTGCAAAATAATACAAAAATAAGAAATCTACGTCTTTCTTTTAAGTTGTTCTCACTGGCTACTCATAAAAACAATCAAACGCTGCAACCAGTATGGTCCATATTGCAAACAAATGACTCATAGGAGCTGATTCTTTTTAATGAATCAGTCGTAAAGATGCTGGATTTCATCAACGATTCACTGAATCAGTCGGAGTTGATTGTGACTCACTGAACCACAAGTCATTATTTTTGTCTTGCCCAACTCAAAATGATAGAGAACTGTGTACTGTTATGTTTGCTTAAGACTTCTAATATTTAAATTAATCTAATTATTGAGTGATTGTTAATATGGCAGCAAAAAAAGATACACTACTATTCAAAAGTTTGGGGTCGGTAAGATTTTTTAAAATGTTTTTGAAAGAAGTATCTTTATTCTCACATATGTGACCCTGGAGCACAAAACCAGTCTTAAGTCGCTGGGGTATATTTGTAGCAATAGCCAACAATACATTGTATGGGTCAAAATTATTGAATTTTCTTTTATGCCAAAAATCATTAGGATATTAAGTAAAGATCATGTTCCATGAAGATATTTTGTAAATTTCCTACTGTAAATATATTAAAACTTAATTTTTGATTAGTAATATGCATTATAACTTTAAAGGTGATTTTCTCATATTTTGATTTTTTTGCACCCTCAGATTCCAGATTTTCAAATAGTTGTATCTCGGCCAAATATTGTCCTATCCTAACAAACCATACATCAATGGAAAGCTTATTTGTTCAACTTTCAGATGATGTATAAATCTCAATTTTGAAAAATTGACACTTAAGACTGGTTTTGTGGTCCAGGGTCACATATAGTGCATTCATTTGATCAAAACAGTAATATTGTGGAATAGTATTGATTACAATTTAAAGCAACTTTGTTCTGTTTTAGCATATTTTTATATTCCTCTGATTGTCTTCATTGTCACATAATCCTTCAGAAATCATTCTAATATGCTGATTTGCTGCTCAAGAAACATTTCTGATGATGATCAATGTTGAAAACAGTTGTGCTGCTTAATATTTATGTGGGAATGCATTTTTTCAGGATTCTTGATGAATAGAAAGTTCAAAAACAGCATTTATTTGAAATTGTAGCAGTATAAATGTTTTTACGGTCACTTTTGATCCGTTTAATGAATACTTGCTGAATAAAAGCATTAATTTCTTTTTTCTTTTTTTTTTTCTTTTTTACTGAACCAAAATTTTGTAAAGTAGTGTACATTCTGAAAATTCAGATTTTTTTGTTGTTCTTCTTCTTATAGTTCTACTTTTTTAATGAAAAAGAAAAAACATATATAACCAAACAATGGTATTTTCTTTCTTTCTTTCTTTCTTTTTCTTTCTTTCTTTCTTTCTTTCTTTAACTGGAAAAGCGCTACTAAAATAGGTTATAGGAATTGTACTATGAATCAAAAGAACTGGAATTGCTATGTGGAATCAAAATTAAAACCAAAACCAACAATTTGCCAATAAATACATCTGATAAATTACATAAATAAATTCCCATACGAGTTGCTAGGTGGGTTCTAGGTGGTTGCTTAGTGGCCCAAGTCAAATGAGTCTACATGTTTCTGTATGATATTCTAGTTCTCAGATATAGTTCAGACCCCTCCTTCAGTGTCTGTGGGATTGTTTCACTCATTTTACCGTCCACCAGGCAATCACTTAAGTAATCTCTCCTCAACAAGCCGAATGATTTGAGCCGAGGTGTCATTTGTGTCCATAGCTCAAGCTACACTGTTAGTTCAAATCATTAACCTATGTATGAACTTAGCAAGTGTCACTAATAAAGGACAGTGGATGGGAAACCTCGCGTTGAGTTTGGGGGCTAGAAAGAGTGAGTGAGTGACAGAGAGAGAGAAGTGTGGGCGTCTGGGGGGGAACCGGTGGTGTCTTTGTGATGGAGATGGAGCAGTCTCCAGCGCTGAGCTGATAATGACCAACGGTTCTAATAGCATTCACCCCTCCACCCTTTAACCACTCAAGCGGAAAACGGACAGAAAGAAAGAGAGAGAGCGTGTGAAGAAGATATGTTTAAAATATGACGTGGTGTGTGTCCCAGCTTATTGAAAATGCGCGTATATGAGTGTGTGTATGTCTCGACGCCCCTTGAGGAGACATTAAAAGACAATATGTGTGTAGTTCTCGGCCACACACACACACACGCAAACACGTTCGCACCAGTCGGCTTACCCTCTTTATCGTGCTGTATTTATGGAGGGCGATGGAGCGTGAAACACCTTTGGGCTCCTCGGGACCAGATGGAGAAACACACACATACACACAGTCACACACACACTCCAAAGGCGGCCTTATCACCAGCGCATTACTGGGATTTATTGATACCCTCGGTAATCACTCCCTTATATCACCTCAAAGAAAAGAAAAATATACAGATTATATGAATGTCTGTGAGAAAGAGTGGGAGGAGGAGACAGAGTGGATGATGGGAAAAAGAGAGTGTGAATGTGTTCATCGTTCACTAGCGAGATGGGAAATGTAAGGGAGGTTTATAATAACAGAACAGAGTGAAAGGAATTGAGTGAAGTCGAATAATATAACGCAGGTAGTCGGCTGGCATACGCGCACACAAAGGGCACAGCTGAGGGGCCGAGGTGCATTCACACACCTGACATGAGCAGAGTTGTATTCTTGTGTGTGTTTAGAGAGTGTTCTGGTACTGGTTGCGGCTGAATTCATGTCACCCTAATTGGAGGTTTCTTGACCTTACTGCTTTAACTTGTCACACAGTAGATGCTTCTGATACAAATGGGCACATCAACCTTTACTGTTACGAGTATAGCCTGCTACAAGATGTTTAGTAGAATGTCGAAGCTGCTCTATTTCACACTATGAAAGCCTGAAGTGACCAGCGACTGTGAAAAATGCACATTAAACATCATAAAAATGGTTCATTGTTGGAAAAGAGCAACATTGTGCTAAACTTCTCTTTTTGTGGTCCACAGAGGATAAAAACTGGGAGTAAATAATAACAGAATGTTCATTCTTAGGTCAATTATCCCTTTAAACAAGTGGTTCTCAACCAGGGGACTGGGGCCCACTAGAGCTCCTCAGAGAACTTTCAAGGGGCCCTCGAGGGCTTAGAATAAGCTAAAACAACAAAAAAACTCAAGATATTTTTTAATTGATCCCTTTTTTTCTTTGAAGAACTGGGGTTCCCACTGGATATACAAGGAAATCTCAAATTAAAAGTGTGTTTTCTATACCAGGAAAAGTCATGTGAATTAATGAAGTCTAACATAATGGCCATTTTTGTAATGAACTTAAAATTAATTAATTAAAATGAATGTAAAATATTTTATTGTGAGTAAAAATATTTGTAAAAATCCTTATAAGTAAATCACGGATTACTGGAAGAGTAATGTAAATTCATTGGTTAAAAAATGGGATCGCTGAAGAACTTCCAGCTTCTAAAAATGTTTAAATCCTGAAAATTAAATCTATTTTAAATTTATAAAAATAAAATAAAAAAAAAAAACTGGCATGTCTTTAGATTAAAGTAAGTTTTCAAAGTGTAAATGGGACTGGGGGCCTTTAAATATCATTGTGACAATCAGGGGGCCTTGGGGTCAATAAGGTTAAGAACCACTGTTGAAATTGTACAGTACTGAGTGTTAATGAAGGCACTGCTCACTATTTTTCTTGTTATAGACTTCAAATATAAGATTTAATGATTTTTATGCATTTTGCTCAAAGGTGGCAGTCAAACTCATTTTGAAGATTTTTGTGTTCAGTCTCCTTCTGCTTATAACTCTGTATCTTGTTGTTTCTCTGTAGACCACTAATGGACCCCTCCGCAAGCCCAGTGATCCAAATTCCTGCAGGAAACCTGCCTACTGCTACAACTGCTCTAAGAAAGGACACTTCGGCCATGTAAATGGATCAGCCTCATCTATGCTGATTGCTGGTTGCTTTCTGCAATGAATAACAACCGCAACAACCACTCAGCAAAACATTTTAAATACCACATTTCTAAACACACACACACAAATCAGAACCCCTCATTGACCGCTGTGTTGGTCCTTGTTACTTCAAACTGCTCTATTTGTTATACTGAAAACCACTGTTTTTACGATTAATCTATATTCATACACAACATGCTAAATAAAGTACAGCTGTATACACTAGGTTGAGGTCAGGATTTTTTATATAGCTTTGTATACTTCTATTCAGCAAGGATGCTTGAAAATGACAGTAAAGACATTTACATTATTACAAAAAAACAAAAGCTGTTCTTTTGAACAATCAATTTATCAAAAAACAAAGAGAAAAAATTGTATCATGGTTTCCACAAAAATATTAAGCAACTGTTTTCAACAGTGATAATGTAGGGCTCTATGAAATCAGTTTTTATTTTTCCCAAATTCAGTTTTATTTATTTTTTCAAATTCTGTTTTTCCAGACTTTTCTAGACTCTGTTTTAATGGTTAAATTACATTTTATTCATCAAAAAAGCATGTCTAATTAATTGAAATCATGAAACTTGCACAACTTGACAGTAATTAATTTTTTTAATGCATTTTTAAGGCCCTGTTAATTATTTACTTATTTAATTATTACGTTTTATTTAATAAAAAAAAACATTCTCAAATTTAGTTGTATTTTTACCAAAGTCTGTTTTCCATTAATTTTCTGGATTCCATTTTAGTGGTAATTCAAAGCATCTCTAAATAATTGATTTTATAAAAAAAACTAATTTATTATTATTATTTTTTATTTTTTTTTTCAAAATATTGAATATTTTTCCGAAATATTGTGTTGTACATTTACATTTTTCTGGTAAACAATTTTTCTGGTAAATATTCCTTAAAAATGATGTTTTAATAATCATTTTATTATTAGTAGTAGTACTATCGTTAAATTAAGTAATATTTTCTGTCACAGTTTTTTCAAGTTAAACCAAACTTTTATTTTGACAGGTTGCCGTGAAGACCTTTAAGTTTCTGTTTGTATATGATATGATGATAGATTTTCTCAAAAGAAACGGTAAAATGCTCATGAAGTGACTCTGAGAGCAGTTCTAGAGATTATGTTCATGTGTTCATGTACTCATATATTGAGGCGGCAGACGCTGAAAACACCGCAAGTGTTTTCATTAATCCATCCAAAATTTGGAAAAATTCCATGACATTCCACGTTATACAGTAAATTCCATCTTTATGACTGGATTCTGCGATTCCATCTGCATTTTCCGCATCGGGGAAATCATAGGGCCCTAATGATGATAATACTAACAATTTTTCTTGAGCAGCAAATCAGCATATTAGAATGATTTCTGAAGGATCATGTGACACTGAAGACTGGAGTAATGATGCTGAAAATACATCACAGGAATAAATTACATTTTAAAATATATTCAAACAGAAAACAGTTATTTTAAATTGTAATATTTCACAATATTACTGTACCATGATTATGAGATTAAAGTGTGTGTTTTCTGCAGGAATGCACTGAGAGGAGAATGTATAACGGGACATATCCCACCCTGCCATTTATTTCCTATTATGACACAAAAAAGGACATGAATTGCCGGAATCATCGACTTAAAAAGCAGGCCAAAGGTTTGTTAGATAGATTCTTTCTGATAAGTTGAATTGATAAAGGCTGATCTAAAGATTGAGACCTAAAGATTTAATGACGTGTGTCTCTTACAGAACTTCAGGAAGCCGGATTGATTTCACCTGATGGAGCTTTCGTTACAAATACCCCCCAACCGCCCAGAAAGAAACAAAAAACCAGCCACAAACAGTCTCCATACGCACACAACACTCACACCAACAACCAGCTCACGCCGAAGAGACGCATCGCACACACACCCAAACACCATCCACAAGCGCACAAACAGAACACACACTTGAATTTCAAGCAGAGCTCACAAACACCAGGAAACCACGGCAAACACACGCCTCAGAGCAGGTTTAAACCACAAAAGCAAAGCCAGAAAGAAGCCAAAAAGAAAACACGATCTGAAGGTATAGTTTTAGATGAAGACGCAGACTTTCCTAGAGGCTGTGAAAAGAGCCCCCACACGACAAGAGTTTTTTCATCACCTCGCAAAGCCAATGTGACGCCGAATAAGCCCTTTGGACTGGAAAAGAGCAATAAAAAGAAAACGGATAAAATATCGAAAAAGGAGGAGAGGAAATGGAGAAAGAGACAAAAAAAAGCTACAAAAGGTTCTTCCGCGTATCCCTCCGATGAAAACCTTTTTCTGATTAAACAAAGAAAGGTATGAAGATAAAAAAGGCAAATTGTGTGAATGGGACGTCAGGTGATTCTCCGTCTACTGGTGGTTGGTTTTGGCCCATCTTCCTCCATTCACATGCTTTTGTGTACAGTATTAGGGCTTTTTAGGGTTGTCCAAATCAGACCCTCTCACCCAAATTCAGTAAACTGCTCAGTGCTTGACTGCATTATATTATGATATTCATATACTAAATTGACGTTAAAAAGTACATAATTTTTTTGGGGGAAAAATTAATACATTTAGCAAACATCAAGGTATTTTAAAAGCAAGTGTCCTGCTTGTTCATGACGAGTGTGTAGAGTTTATTATTTTATGTAGTACATGCTGACTTCTGTAACATCATGATTAAATTAAAGTCTGTTTGTATTGATAATCTGTTTGAGATCTTTTGTATAAACATCTTTTTTAAATGAATATTCAGTTTTATTTGAAGGTAAAAAGTGTAAAATCCAGGCTTAATATGCCTTAATTTTCTGAAAAGCATGACTGTAGCACCATCAAAACCCTGTACTCTGGTATTTTTTTTATTTATTTTTTTAAGAATCCCACCAGTACAACCAATGGTTGAGTTCGGGGGTGGGGCTATCTGTTTGGCCAACCAATGGCCAAAGTGGAAACCAGTTTAAAAGCAGTCATTATTTCTGCAGTTTTTTCTAAAATGAAATCTACACATTCTGTGCTTGTCTATTTTTGCTTTCCAAACATGATGTGCATTAATATTACATTGATACACCAGTAGGTGGCGACAAGTGTCTTAATCAGTAAGTCTTTCAATCATTCGCTCAACCAATTCCTTAAACAACACCGATTCATTCAGAAACGAATCAACACTATGGTCTTTTGCTCAGAGATGCTGAACGAGTAAGTTCTGCTTTGACTTCGTTTAGAACTGTTATTGTCGGTGGATCAAAATCAGGGCTGCTAACTCACGCAATTGACTTTTCTCACGCTCTCACGAGTCGACACAACGATGCGGGATTCATTTTCGAATGGGAGAAAAATATAATTTCTCAAAATAGATGTCCAAGCAATGTAAATGCAGACTAATAGATTAATAGAAAAATATTAGAATTTTTGTGTCAAAATATTTTTTAAATGCGGTTGCAATTATTTATAAAAGTAATGACTAGTAAATCTTGCAATTCTCTCACTGTACATTGCTATTCTTGTGGTAAAACGTTAATAGTTTTGCAGCACTGCGGCAGTTATTTTACATAATTTTATGATATATATATATATATATATATATATATATATATAATAAACATTTTCACTCCAACTTGAACTCAAAAGTTGGCAGCCCTGCAAAATAGGAAATGGCAATATTATGTAAAGTTATTCAAAATGAGCTTATTGTTTATTGGACTCGCAACCATGCTCTTGGTCTGTGTGGCTGTGTGATTTCCTTTATATAAAAAAATCTGTCTGTTGAACTGAAATCTTACTTTCAGACAAAAAATATGTGCTCCACCTTTCACCTCTCTCCCGTGATTATCTTCTTGAGCTCCAGGTGTTGTTTAGGGCTGTTCAGCTTTAAAGTAATGACAGGCAGCAAACAGCTGGTTAAGTGGTTAAACCAGTGCCATTTACTTCACTTTCCCTATTTTTCACTTTTTAAGATCCCACATTCCTTCTTTTTATTCCATGCAGTTCCTCTTTTCGCTTTCATGGGTTGTGTTTTTGCTAAGAACAATATTTGAGCTCCAGAAGAGTCCAGATTTGTTCAATTGTTCTGTGAATGCGTGTAATGTTGTTCTGCTCTGCAGGACCGTGTGTGTGGACATTTATGTGAAAGTGTGTGCCTTTTATTGCCTGAAATGTTTTTCAACAGTAAAAGAGAAGAGATGATTTCTTAAGCCAAATATAAATCCAACACCAAACATGGCAGTCCAGCTTACATGCAGAAAGAAATATCAGATTTTTTTTCCTGAAGATTTGCAGACAGTTTGTAAACTCAAGAGTCCCCTGAGGCTTGGCTGAGATGTGTAAGAGTGATACAGTACGATGTGAGTGAAGAAACATATAGTCACTATTGAAACGGAGTCACACAAGCTAACTCACACTGATTTATTCTGACAAATTCTTTAGAAGTGATTACTCAGGCTTTTTACTGGCATAGTTGGCCACAACACATTCCCAGCACTTTGACTCAACATACAGCCCTCAAAACATTCACAGTCATTCACTTAAGTGTAATTAACAAACCATGCTCATCACCATTTTACTTTCAAGGACAGTATTTGCCCGTAAAATCTGTTTTAGGTCAAGATAGTAAGAACTCCTTCCTCTTGAAACTAAATTTTCCTGCAGATCTGAATCTTGCCTCCACCACTGTGGTCCATTTCTGTATGTGACATGTCTTTTTCATTAGTCCAGTTCTCAGTACAGACCAACTAGGGCTTAATAAAAGCTATATATATATAAATGGCCAAAGGCTACAAAAGCATATAAATATAGCTATGAATGTAGCTTTAAACCCATGAAAGTAATAAAATAATGAAAAATGGGAAGAGTTTGTGGTTAAAATAGATGTTTAGAGTTTTTTACAGTACTTTTTTATGGACCCTGCATATGTGCTGATTGCTTGCCAGAAAATGTCACTCGATGCTGAGCATGGCCAAGTTTATGGAAACCATGACAGAGATGGAATATGATTTAAAAAGAAAAAAAAAGTTTTGGTTTGAACTGAAAATGTAATTGAGAAACATTTCTGTAGCAGTGTTATTTTAGTATTATTTATATACTATTATTATAGTTTTCATTAATGTTTTGAATGAGCTTTTATTATTTTTATTTCAGTATGCATTTTAATTTTAGTTTAAGTGAGTAATTTTTAATTTGTTCTTTTTGTAGCCATTTTTATTACTTTTTAATAGATTTTATGAATACAATTATTTAATATAAGCTTTAGTAGTTTTAGTATTTTTCATCTAATATTTTATTTCAATTATCACAAACCATTTTTAATAGTTTTAGTTAACAAAAACACTTCACTAATTTTGTCTCTAGTTTTACTGCACTTGCATTAAAGTCTTAAATCACACTGATCATGTCAGCATTTTATGTTTTCACTGCCTAGTAAAGGAATACATATAAAACGAAGGCCTTGGTTTTTAATGCACCCAAGTGAAATAAGACGTCTAGTCAAGTTTGTGTGCGATCTGTTCAGCATTAAGTTGAATTTTTTGGGATTCGTTTTTTTTATATAAACTTGTCAGTACAAGGTCTTTGACGTGATGTACTAATAACAGCAAAAATAATTTACTCAGGTGTTATTTAACCATTAGGAACAACTTTCATAGTGTCTATAGCACATGCAAAAGAAAACTGAACTCAGTTCTTTGCATTTTGCTGCTGTGGCTGCACACTTCAAAATATAGTTCAACCAAAAATGAAAATTTGCTGAAAATGTACTCACCCTCATGTCATCCAAGATGTAGTTGAGTTTGTTTTTTCATGGTAACAGATTTTGAGAAATTTCTTACATCACTTGCTCACCATTAGATCCTTTGCAGTGAATGGGTGCCGTCAGAATGAGAGTCCAAACAGCTGATAAAAAAACGGGCAATGGTTTTAAGTTAAAAACATCTTAATAATTCATCTGTTTCTTACAAACACGCACCTTTTCTCTTCACAAGTCATTAACTGATGGACTGGAGTGGTGTGGATTATTGTAATGTTTTTATCAGCTGTTTGGACTCTCATTCTGACGGCACCCATTCACTGCAGAGGATCCATTGGTGAGCAAGTGATGGAATGCTACTTTTCTCCAAATCTGTTCTGATGAAGAAACAAACTCATCTTTTCAGCAATTATTTCAGCAAATTTACATTTTTGAGTGAACTATTCCATATAGGTTATCCAGATATTTCTTTCTATAAATACAGCATACTCCACATCCTTCTAGTGTTTGACACTGCATTTTGCATACTAGGGAAATATGAATATTTGTACAGTGGGGACGAGACTGAGTTACAGGGTTCCCACGGCCATGGAAAACCTGAAAATAACATATTACAGTTTTGATTTCCATGCCTGGATATATCATGGAAATACAGTATTTTTTTTCTGCTCCTCTCTCAAGTATTTAATTGGCTAGACCTTGCTCTTTGTGAGTGCTTGTGTAGAGTAAAACTCGCCCTCAAGCCAGTGAGATACCATCAGTCTCGTCTGTCTGTTCAGGGTCTTATTGGAGATGTTCGGACACTAATATAATTAATTTAAATCTTTCTAAAAAGTCATGGAAATTCACTTGTAGGTGTTCCCCTGCTCTCTCTATTGACAGTGCTGTGTTTGTATTTTGCAACTGCATCCTCTCAACAGAGTCATTCCACCTTTAGATTCGGGTTGTTTGATTTAGTACACTTGGGAGACATCCACTGTTATTATGTTATTTACTGTCCATACTAATCCACAGCGGGCATGTAGAATGCAGGGCTCAGAGCTGTTATTAAGTATGCTTAGTACTGACATTCCTCTCCAAATCCATGTACTTTTGGATGAGTCTCTGTCGAGTTTCCAGCTCTCTGTTTCTGTGTCTTAAAGAACTGTCTGCGAAGGCTGTCAGAGCCTTGTCTGCATTTTTATTGTGACTTGGATATTTCCTCCAAGCAGTCGCGGAATGCATTTCTCTCTGTTTACCATCCAGAAAGATAAGCAAATGTGACTATTAACCATGTAACACACCATCCACAATCATAAACATGTACGGATGCACGTCATCTAAATCACTGCACTGCAACAGGTGTGTAGTCGACAGTGTGCGGATTGGGAATGTGTCCATTTTATGCTTGTAAATCAGTGTAAAGCCCCACTATAACCCTCCTTCCTCCTCAACCGGTGCTTCATACTGTAGCTTCCAGGCAAAACTTAATTTTCATAGAGAGCTCTCATTGCAGAAAACGGCTAACAACATCAGTGGTGGTCACTCAGTCTAAGCAGATCTAATAAAAAGGGGACTGAGTAAATTTCACTGCCAGTAAGTGGAGTTTTTAACTTAAGATGATTTGACTTTAGACAAATTATGCTTGGTCTTAAATCAGACTCAGTCCCAGTTTTTTTTACTATATTATTTTAGTGGGGTTTTTTTTCATCCCGAGTATATAATCCATTCTCTCTTTCACTTTCTTTTGTAAAAACCTCAATCTTCTGTTTCAAACTTACTTACTGTAACTCAATATCAGATTATCTTCAATAAAAACCAAGCTTTAGCTTGAGATGACTGTTATGACTCCAAAATGGTCTAGCGAACATAAAACCCAACAAATGCACGGATTAATCCACATTTCCCTCATTAAAAAGAAGTGCACTTAACTGTATTTAATATGCACCTGTACTCGCAGATAATATAATATTAATGCAATAAAAGGCAGCTTAAGTGGAGCACCTTGTAATGGCAAATTGCAAGTTTTACTTTAAAGCACATTTTAAGTCGCACATTTATAAAGCACATTTATAACCCTTTGTCATGCTTTGAAGAAGTTCAAATATTTTGATTACTTGACTAACAAAGTAAAGCACTATTAGTTGGCTATTAATTATAATTTTAACTACCCAGATAGCACACACGTCTGTTAAAGATCTGGAAAGCATCTGCTGTGTACAAACATCTGATAGATGTCTATTAGATGTCAGTTTTACATACATTCTAAATCATAAACATCTTAAAGACATCTTCTAAACGTCTTTTTGACATCTGATAGGAAACGTCCTATAGACGTATTTCAGATGAGCAAACACTAAAAAATACGCACTAAACTGCAACTTCATCATCACAATATTACAAACATATTTAAATATATGACGTATAAGTTTCAATCGAAAGCAGCTGTACTGTATGTAGTTTTGTGTTCTGTCGTAATTACAGTGGATAGCTGTACACGTACATTTGTTGCTGCCGTAAAGCAGCAGTCCGCTTTCAAGGTAAAAACATATATACAGTTGTTTTAACCACATTTCAAACATATTATAAGTAATTATGAAGATGTAAGTCATACTTAAGTGGTTCAAAAAAGCACTCACTTAATTGCTTTTAATATACATTTAAACTATACTACATGTTCATGTAAGATTCAAGATTTTTATACTTATATAACAAAAAATAAACAGAGATAATAAGATTTAATTGCAATTAACATGCATTTAAAGGTCCCATATTGTCAAAACTGAAATGTCCTGGCTTTTTTTCATGATAACTGAGGTCTAGGTTCTATGTAACTACCATATAAGTTTCAAAACAGTCAGTCCACAGTAAAATGCACACAGCCTGCATAAAGTAGCTGATTTTTCACGAACCGTTGTGACTACTGTAAAAAGTTGACGTCAGAACTACTCAGTCACCACCTTCAGTCACCACCCCGAGCACCGCCCACCGTCCCACTCTCCTTTTGCCAAACCCCCAGACAACATGGCGTCCATGCTATTGCTGAGCAACAACAACAGGGAAACATGTCGAAAAGGTTAACTTTAACCAGGAAACCAGATCGGCCGACCTGTAACGTTACACAAAGGATGGACGATCTGACAGGATTGTTACTATGAGGTGGATCACATCTAACATGTAAAGACAAACTCACCGTGTCTATCTAGTCATAATGAAGGTGTATATACATTTCAATTTCAGCAGGCAACTATTTTTACAGCTACATTATTGTTCCAGCCACAATTAATCACAACAATGTATATACAATTACAAATGATTATATATAAATCGTCAGTTTGTTGTTTTTCACACATGCACACAGACATTATTTCATACACGACATAGTCGTGAGATGCAAGAAACATAGACATATGGCAAGGAATCTGTAGACGCGCCCATAACAACAAAAGACAATACTTTATTGAACCTTTTCTGATAAGAAGTGTGCGCTGCAAACG